AATTCCTCCTTCCTCAAGCTTTTGTCTATTCAGGCTCTCAGTGGATTGGATGGTGCCCACACACACTGGGGAGGACAATCTGCTGGACCCAGTACACCAATTCAAATGCTAGTGTCATCTAGAAACACCCTCACAGACACTCAGAAACAATGCTTAATCTAGGCATCCCTCGGCCCACTGAAGTTGACACACAAAATTAACCCTCATGAATGGTTTGTTTGTATAGTTGTGCTTTACAAATAACTGAAGAAAACATTTTAATTAATGACGTCTAATAGTTTTTAGGTCTTTCTTTTTTTCTCTTTTTTTTTGTGATGGAGTCTCGCTCTGTTGCCCAGGCTGGAGTGCAGTGGCAAGATCTCCGCTCACTGAAAGCTCTGCCTCCCGGGTTCACACCGTTCTCCTGCCTCAGCCTCCCGAGTAGCTGGGACTTTACAGGTGCCCGCCACCACACCCTGCTGATTTTTTGTATTTTCAGTAAAGATGGGGTTTCACTCTGTTAGCCAGGCTTATCTTGAACTCCTGACCTCAGGTGATCCACCTGCCTCGGCCTCCCAAAGTACTGGGATTACAGGCGTGAGCCACCGCGCCCGGCCTGTTTGTGAGGTCTTTAAGGTGTTAGGACCTAAAACACGTTTTTACAGTTCTTTTATATTTTCACTGGCAGGTGTAATGCTTTTTTATTATAACCCAAACAACCAGTGCGTAGGTGGAGGACTTTCTTTGGAGGCATATGTATATGTGTGTGTGTATATATATATGTAGATATGTACACATGTATATACACACACATATATGTGTGTGTGTCTCTATCTATCTATCTGTGTATTTTTTTTTTTGGGAAGAGACAGGGTTTAGCTATGTGTGCCCCAGGCTGGACTTGAACTTCTGAGCTCATGCAGTCCTCCTGCATCAGCCCCTTGCATAGCTGGGACTACAGGCATGCATCACTGTGCCTGGCCAATTCTTAAAAGGAATTAAATAAGCTCTCTATTTAGGGGAATAAATTCTTTTTAAGCATCTCACACAGTGTTGGGATGCTGGGAAATGCACTACACATACACACACACACATGCACACACGCACACATATACACAGAGGGAAGGAGCCTGGCTTTTTAAATATATACCATCACTCCTTACATAGGAACGATTCTATCTGTGGTCATGGAAATACCCTGAGGCTTAATTTTTATGCTTGATGTAAAGAATGGATTTTCAAGTTTTATTTTTACATGCTGTTTTAAAGGCCTATTTTGTATCCCAGAATGTATGAATTTTAGCTTCCTTCTTTGAACTTTGGTAGTCTATGTTCACTTTGAATATTCAACACATAGCCTGCAGTGGTAATAATATAACCTCTATTTTTTTCTTTGTATTCACATCTAAAATTTAAGCAATGCTGGCACAGCTCCGGCCTATTCATATGAAACAGGTTCTTTTCCCTTTTTTTTTCATAATTTTTAGGATCACATTTTCACTAGGTATTTGAACTTGGCATGGTATAAGTTTTCAAAATAAACGACATAGAAGGATACTGTTATCTATACAGCTTAACAATGGCAGGGCCAAAATTAGAACTCAGCCTTCATATTTCTGAATTTTTACTATTTTTCCCTAAGTTGTGGTGTTGGGATGTGGGTAGAGGGTTTTTAAAGCATGTGTTTTGTTTAATTTTAGATTACTAACTTTGAAGAATATTCCTAATCCTTTTGATCCTG